AGTTCACCCAAATCGTTATCATATCGACTTTTTTTACTTGATTCATTTAAAACCTCGTTCATTAAATTAGTCATCAACTCTTTACGACTTTGTCGATGACCACTAGAAGAACTAGAACCCGCAAAACCACGTGAGGAAGGTGTTTGTGGTTGGTTTCCTCCTCTGTAAAATTGTTTGTAATGATCAAATAAATTTTAAAAATTGCGATTAAATAAACGTTTTTGTTCCATTGAAGAAGAATTATCCGTAGCGGAATCCAAACCAATAGCCACACATATTTGTGTAATTAAAACTTCAACACCAACAATATTTAAATATGGGTTTAAAGCCGCAACACAAAGAAAAGCAAATGAGATACTCATAAAATATTTTAACAATTTTTTTTTTTCATGCAAGACATCAACCTTCCCCAATCCACATGGTTTTCGTATTGGACAATTTTACTTGCCAAAATATAGATTTGGTTTAAAACTAAAGGGCTTGTTGGATAATATATTCCCGATAAAAGTGTTGTCGCATTTTTAAAATCCCCTAAAATGTCGTACAATCCTTCAATCACGGCCCAATCGAGATTTTTAATAGAGGTTTGAGGATAATGGGTTCTATAAAAAGAAAAAAAATATAATTTTTTTGTTTTAATAAATTTTCGATCATAAAATATGTCGAGTTCCAACGAACGGGCATATCGTGGTTCAGTCCCAAAGCTCTAAAACCGACGTCTTGGCAATACCTTCTATAGGCCGCATGCATTTTTTTACCTTTAGTGAAAATTCGCCGCAACATAAGTCTAAACTTATCTATTACGGGTTTACAAGTATTTAAACCGTCTTGAACGGCTAAATWTATTATATGGGCACAACAACGTGTATGAAATAATTTTTCGTCTAAAATATGTGTCAAATGACACTTTAATTTTTCCATACAAACATTGTTATTACTAGCGTTATCAAACGAAATACTAATTATTTTAGCGGTTAAATTATAAAATACAAGGGTTCTTTTAATAATCGAATATTGACGTGCACCCGAATGTGGCACACCAAACGGTTCAAACGCGATTACACGTTTGAATAATTGCCATGTGTTAGGGTTAACCCAATGTGCCGTTATGCATATATACGAAACCGGCAATCCGTATGGTGCGCTCCATACATCACACGTTAAAGAAATATTGTTAGGCAAAGAAGAAAACATTTGTTGCATTTCGTCTTTGGCAATTGTCCACATTTTTAGAGCATCACGTCTAAGGGTTTGACGACTTACCGGCTTGTATCATGGTTGTAGCGTCTTTTGAATCATCTTCGTAACGTGAGGGTTGTCGAAGTGTCCAAAAGGCCAACCGACTTGAATGACACATTGTGTAGTCATTTGTTGGTTTAAATCGGCATCGTAGGACCATATTTGACCTTGGGTGTCAAGTATCGGTTGGCTTGAATCTCCCACCGACCTCAACCCCGGGCACGTTTTTTCGGTGTGCCTCCTTAACGTAGAATTTCCTTCCGCCGTAAGGAGAGTTTGACACATTTTGCAATGTGCCTTTCGTTTCCCGGTCGTGAGAACTACCAAGTTGTAGTGATTCCAAATCTCGGACTTTCGTCCGTGTTCGACGAAAACTTGGGCAATTTGTTCGTTTGATGGTTGTTCACCGACCATTTTGTAAATCGTAAGTAAAAGAGAGAAATGAACGAGAATTGTAAGTGGAAACGAGAAATTAATACGTAACGAATTCAAAAAATGAAGCGAAAAACCGAGAATTGATAGCGTTTTTTGCGTTTTTGAAGATGAGGTGAGTTGGAAAAAACTAGGGAACTCCCATCTCTATTTATACATGTTTTGGTAGCTTCTAAGATGCAAAAAACGGTCATAAGGAGGCTCCAACGGCTAGTTTGACCAAATCCAACGGCTAGTTTGACTTTTAAAGGCTAGTTTGACCAGGTTGACTTTCGTTGACTTTCATTGACCTGACCGGGCCGGGCCCATAACCGGTTCCGGTCCTAGAAATACCAAAATCCTAAATTGGTTCATAACCGCCTGTCCACAACCGGTCCCGGTCGGTTACGGGCCTCCGTCGGTTTCGATTACGGGCCTCCGTCGGTTACGAGCCGGGTCGGACCCATTTGACCATCTCTACTTCCAAGTCCCAGACCCAGATCCCACCTGGAGGTGGGATATAGTGTTTCATCTGGAATGCAAAACAAATTAGCTGGTTTTGGTGTGTCTGTGGGTTTGGAGAGGGGTGTTGCTAAATGAAACCCCTCTTGGGTCAAACTATGGTCTGTTCATGCAATGAAAATGTAAAAAGATAGATGTGTGTGTGTGAATGGTTGGGGAGTTCATTTAGAATAACTCTTTGGAGAGTCTTTGCGTGAGTGATGCCTCTCCCGCATCAAGTTGACCGCCAGACTGACACCTTTTGAAGACTTTCTAGTGTGCGAGAATTAAGGTCTTCACGAATCCCATCTTTCCGTTAGTTCACTCCATGCGAGGAATTAACGAGTTTGGATTTTTAATTACCTATTGACTTCACCTTCCTGTATATAAGTCATTGATTGGGTGACGTTTTGGTAGCCAAGTTAAGCTCATAGGTGTGCGCATTGCTGGATCGATTGTAAGCTATACAGGGTTAGTACACCTGCAATAAGGCTTGGCATTTGGGTTGCTCCTCAAAAAGTCACCGTTTTAAAGGTATTGGGGATTCAGTTGGTTGTTCTCCGAGGCTCTCTGAAACATCAAACATAAAAAATTATTAGCATCGACACATGTCATAAAAGTCTATTGCGACAGAATGTAATCAAATACAATAGAAACATAAATTTACATCCATTATTTTGTACAAATCACGTTATGTGTACAAACTATACAAATCTTATATAACCAATTATAGTTTTTCATTTCGTTTATTTTTTTTAATTATGAGAGGTTTATTAATCATT